AGCGCCCCGGCGCCTGTGGCTTCCAGGGGCGGTCCCCAGGCGAGCGCCCCGGCGCCTGTGGCTTCCAGGGGCGGTCCCCAGGCGAGCGCCCCGGCTCCTGTGGCTTCCAGGGGCGGTCCCCAGGCGAGCACTCCAGCACCAGTGGCTTCCAAGAGCAGTTTGCAAGCAGGCACATCACTGTTGGCTTCCAAGGGAATTTCACAAAGTGCTCCAGCACCATTGGCTTCCAAGAGTGGGTCACAGGCAAGCACACCAATGCTGTTGGCTTCCAAAACTGGTTCACAGGTGAGCATTCCAATGCTGTTGGCTTCCAAGAGCGGATCACAGGCAAGCGGTTCATTCTTGGCTTCCAAGAGTGGATCACAGGCAAGCGCTTCACTCTTGGCTTCCAAGGCTGGGTCACAAGCAAGCGAAAGTTCTGCTAAAGTACTGCGTAAGCCTTTAACCAGTGAAGATGCAAAGGAAAGACAGCCTTTTTTTAATAGATTGTACAAAGCTGTAGCCTGGAAATTGGTTGCTGTTGGAGGCTTTAGTCCTAATGTAAATCATGCAGAACTCTTGAACTCATCCATTCAGTCCGTAAAAGCTACCTTAGATGTTGCTTTTGTTCCACTGAAGGAGCTTGCAGACTTGCCTCAAAATAAGAGCACTCAGGAAAATGTAGTTTGTGAACTGAGGTGCAAATCTGTCTATTTGGGTACTGGATGTGGAAAAAGTCAGGAAAATGCCAAAGCAGTTGCTTCAAGGGAAGCTTTAAAATTATTCCTGAAGAAAAAAGTTATTGTAAAGATCTGCAAAAGAAAGTACAGAGGAAGAGACATTGAAGATTTGGTACTACTCGATGAAGAAGCAAAACCTTCAAACTTACCTCCAGCTCTGAGAAATCCTCAGGAGATTCTGTAGGGCAGTGGGGGAAATCACTGTTTATACCACGTATAGTATTCCAACATAAGAACTGAAGGTTAATTTTGTACTCAAAATGTAGGCTTCCAGAGATTTTGTATTTCTTTCTCGGTTATGCAGAACAGTTATATTGTTCCTTTCACTTCGTAGCAATTGTAAATAATTTGTTAGAGATGAAAAGTGCGCATTTAAAGATATGCCTTAACATATAGCACACTAGTGTGCTGTTTTATTTGCTAAATAGTCTAAGTCTTCTATTTTTAATTAAATGAGTAAGGTACAATTTGCTGTTTATAGTCTGAGAATTTTGTAATCTTACAGTTTGGTGGCTGTGTGCTCAGTTGTATACTACATCTTTTTTTAGCTGCATAGGAATGTGTATATAGGGACCATAGCACTTGAATGGTCAAAAGTTGTTAAAAATTTCAATTAGAGTTTAATCATTTTGTTTGAAATACATGTATGTTGCCCATAATGCTCACTGTTCCTCTTGAAAGGAAAGAAAATAGTTGTTGGACTATTTTTATGAAAAGTTGTAACATTTTAAATCTAATTATAAAATGATATGCAGATTCTATTTAACATTATTATACTAGCAAATTATCAGTAAACAATCACCCAGGTGACTTCAACTACGAAAACTCTAAGCAGATTTAATTTGAGATTTTGTGAAATACCATTTACACTGTTTTTCCAAGTAAACATGGATTTCTATATTACGCATATTTTATGACTGCTACTAAAACAATCTTCTGAGATGCCCTCTTCTACTGTTTTGTTTTAGCTGTTAAGCATTTTGACCATTTTGATGATTGTTGGTAACACTTTTTTAAAAGAAATGTACACTAGCTTCAGTGTGAGGGGTTTCAGGAGGTAATCCCAGAAGTACTAGTTGCTCATTCTGTATAGTTTTATTGAGGTGATACAGATGTAAAACTCAGAAAGCATTTTCTAATAAACAATGGAATGCACACTAATCCTACTCTTGTGATATAAATTAAATAGTTGGTGGATAAAAAGCACTTTTTCTTGAGCAGAGAAGTTTCTAAAGAAGCTGACACACCACAAACTTTGCTTTGGTTCCATGATCAATGATTTTAGGTAGTTTCAAGCAAAGCTAGGGAAAATTGGGGTCTTTATACATTTGTTACAATATTAGTAAAAAATATGGTAAAAGAATATCTCTCACAGTCTTTCATCTCAGATGAGTTACACAATCTAAATAACTAGCACCGTTTTATAAGAAGGTACTTCTTGGTTGATAGATCTGCTGTCAGCTAGGTACTTCAGGACTGAACATGGGGTTTTGAGAATCTCTATGGCAGCTAATATTGGACTTGAGGTGTTTGTTTTATAAAGCAGGGGTGGGCAATTATTTGGGCCTGAGGGCCACATAAGGAGTTTTGATGAGCTGTTGCAGGCTGGGTCGCCACCCCCCAACAACTCACCAAAGCTCCCTATTGGGCTTTGGGTGCATGGGGAACAGCAGTGTTCAGGAGTGGGACTGGCATGATTTGCTCCCTGCACGCCCTGCTCTGTGGGGGGGGATGGGGGGACTGTCTGGTAGCCAGCTGGTGGCGAGGGGAGGGGGAGATGGCTGGCATGTGCAGTAGAGCTCAGCAGGTCAGTGGCTGCCCCTGTAGCGCTCTGCATGGGGCCAAACCCTGTGTCCCAGCCCATGTCCTGCTCCCACTCGCACTTGCCTGTCCAGGCCCCAGCTAGCGCACAGCTTCTGGTGGGGTTGTTCCCGGTGTGGCTGTAGCTGGCCAGGCTTACACTCTTACTGGGAGGTGAGAGGAGCAGAGCAGCATCCAGGTGGTTGCAGCCACATAGAGAACAGCCCCACTAAAACCTGCACATGCTGGCCAGAGTCTGGGCCAGCAGGGCTGTTCTGTTCCTTTCACCTCCTGCTGCAGCTGCTGCTCCTGCTACATCACTCTGGGTGAGCAGGGGGAGAAGCTTCAGCCGGGCAGCTCCTGCCCAGTGTGTGGAGCTCCAACTGTGGCTCCTGGCTGCCTTTCACCTGCTCTGACAGCCTGTAGGTGGCCTCATCTCTGGGTGGGCAGGAGGTGTGCAAGGCAGTTGGGAGCTAGAGCTGGAGCTCTAGGCACTGGGCAGCAGCCGCCCAGCTGAAGCTTCCCCCCTGCCCTCCCGGAGCAGGCACAGCTGGAAGCAAGGGGAGCAGAACACGGGATGCTGGCCAGCGTACACAGTCTCTAGTGGGGCTGTTCCCAGTGCAGCTACAGCCACTTGGGTGATGCTCTGCTCCCCTTACCTCCAGCGGAAGCTCCTCCCACTCTTGTCCCTGCTGCACTGCTCCAGGTGGGCTAGTGGGAAGCTTCAGTCAGGCAGTTCCCACTGGAGTTGAGGGGAGCAGAGCAGTGTCTGGTCAGCTGCAGCAGGACTGGGAACAGCCCTGCCAGAAGCTGCACTGTGGCCCAGGCTGGCAGGAGTGTGGGCTGCCCTGGCAGGAGCAGATGAGGCTTGGCTTCGTGGAGCACTGGGGGCAGCTGCAGGCCGGATTCAGGCAGTTACTGGGCCAAATGCAGCCCGTGGACCATATTCTGCCCATCCCTGTTACAAAGTCACAGTGCATCTGGCCTAAATCCAAATATTGGCTTAATGTGGATCAGAGATCCTCAAAGTCCTTGCACGTCTGCTGTGTAATCACATGACACCTAAAAACTCTTAGTAGACAGTACTAATTTTGTCTGTGTCTTGATGCTGTTAAGCTGCTCAGAGCCATAGTTTATGCCTAAGATCCGGCAGACTTCTCAGAATAGGTGCTCACCTGATAATCGTGCCTGCGGAGCCTGGTTGTAACACTTACTAGGCTGGATATCTCTCAGGATGAAAGAAACACTGGTGGCAGCAGAGTATGTACTGCACATTTTGTCAATAACAGTGGTTGGGGCATGAAATAAAGAATGGGGAGACCCCTCTGAATTCCTACTGAGTGTGATTATTTGCAACAGGAAAGGCAGAAGGCAGGGCAGAGTGGCACCTTGAAGAATCATTCAGATTCATTGTGAGTGGGTTAGTCAACAAGCCCTGCCTTCTGCTTGACTTCAAACAACACAGCTAACTACCTCTCTACAGCAGAAGAAGGCGAGTCGATGCTTTTGCTAACTGGTCATGGAAGAAAGTTGTGCTCGCTGAACAGAACTTGTCGTGGAGTCAGCAACCTGGGGGTACAGTTTCTTGTAACTTAGGCAAATTATAACATTCTTTGAATTCTTCTCCTAATCTCCACCAGGTTGCAGGGAGGTTGCAGCTTGATAGTTAAGCTTTGTTGGAACCTTAAATAAACACAGTTAAATGTGAATGGTTAATAAAAAGTACTTTAAACTATGCCATACACCAGGGATTGAGGACTGCAGAAGCTGTGATCTGACTGTAAAAATGTGGGGAAAATAAAGAATATAATTTGAAATTACTCATATTTCCAGTGAAGGCATTTAAAACGCCTAAAATGTATGTTGTGATATTATTGTTCCATTAGTAATGGCAAACTGCTAATTAAGTTGCTAAAGGAACTCAAGGCAGCTGCAATCAAAGAAAAGAGGATTATTTATTTATTTATTAGGTGCCTGTGCTGCCTTCCCTAAAAGAGGCTCTAAGTGGCTTACAGTATAAACTAGATAGATTATAAAGGCATTAAAATGGTGTATCATAAAATAAGCTCCATAGACAGTACTCCAAATCCTGCCAGCTGAAAGCCTGCCTAAATAAGAAGGCCTTACAACCTTTCCAGAATATGTCCAGGCTTGGGCTTTGATGAATTACAAGGGCAGAAATGCACTGGGGTTTTTTTTTTTGTCATTTTCTTGATTCATTTTTTTGTCAGCTACTTTAAATCTTGGGTATAGGTTGTAGCTGTGTTAGTTTAAGGACATAGGCAGACTTTGAATCTTGCACTTTTATTTTACATGTAAGAAACTCGTATATGAGAGGCTATTTTGAGGAATAGCTTATTAATGAATAGATGGGAAGTTACATTTGTATCTCTAAATTTCTGCTTCTCTAATTTAAAGTGTTTTATTGATCACATGAGATATTTTGGTGTTTTGCTTGGTTTTCTTCCATCCAGTAGCAATTACATATTATTATAATTCATGAAAGAAAAAGCTTGTTTCTCTGATTAGTATATGCTTAGCTACTACATAAATGCCATGCTTGTTAGGGTCTCACATTAAAGTGTAGAATTTCTATTTTCCATCTACTCTGAAAATCTATGACCTGGCTATTTCTATCACTTCTGATGTGAAGTAATCTATCATGGAAACTTGCATCTAAAGTATTTTGTGCTTGTAGGTGTCTTTCATCAGAGGGCACCAAAGGACTTTAGAAAGGTGGATAAACCGCTTCTTCCGTGGAGAAGAAAACTAAGGCATGTAGGTTAAATGAATTTGCCAAATTCATGTAGCAATGCATCCTGGAATTAAATCCTTTTAATCTGCCAGTTCACTGATCAAAATTCTGGAGTAGTGGTGCTCTCAAACCATTTGGTCCCACGTACTGGATGGATGGCATACAGTTGTTAGTCTATGAGTGCAATACCAGCTACAGAGCACCCTTGTACACCAGTCTGACCCCATATGCTGGATCTAGCTGTGAAGCAACCCCATGTACAGGCCACAGCCCAGCCCTGCATGCCAGCATGATCTGGCACACAGGGCCATGTCATCCATCCTGTGGAGTTCCCCACAGGTCCAGCGATTTGGTGATGGGGGAGCAGTGGCTTCCAAAGAACAGTAACACAGTTGATGCTGTTAATGCTAATCAAGGGCAAGTAACGCTGCTACCTCTTTCCCACAGCCAAATGTCCAGACCACTGGGGAGCCCCATGGATTAATGTATTTCCTTCATGCCTAAAATCAATATTATTGCTTTCATGGTTGTGGGACCACATGTAAGGTCAAATGGAAATGGCTGAAGATGGGAAAAGACAAGGCTGCTGTCCAACTTTAAAATATAAAAAAATGAAGATGGGGAAAAAGGGAAAGGAGACATATCTTTAAATCATTTAACAACTGTAGGTGTCTCAGAAAGCAGATTGTGGACTATATCCAGCCTGTGAAGTTTAGGCTGAGCACTGCTCTACTAGATCATATACAGTCCTTTGTGAATTTGAGCTTTGAGGTAACAATATTTTAGTTTGCTTGCTTTCAAATAAACAGCTGGATTTTTCTAACAATTGTCATCACAATTTCCTACAAGCACAAGTAGAGTCTCTTGAAAAAAGTGTGAACATCCACTGTTAATACAACAAAATAACTTCCCAGGTCCAGGACTAAAGTTGTTATTTTTTAATTAATCTATTCTGCTAAGAGCTGTGATGTGGCAGTAGTAGGAGTGAATAATGGAAGGATGGACTATATACAGGTTGTGTAAACTTACAGAGTTGCAAAAGTAATTCAGTTCTTCCTGCTGTGCCCCTCATGTCTTCTTGTAAAACACATTTGTACCCTGATCTTTGTGCTTCTGCTATATTTGAAACAAGCCTATAAAGTCCTAGACCTGAAGATGCAAGAAGGTCCCTGGAGTCATGTCTACCTCTACATTTGTACAGAGTCAACAGTGTGCATATCATCATCAAAATAAACTTTTTTAACATGTTAGTACATGCTTTGTTGATGTTTTACTCTACAAAATCTACTGGGATTTTAAAACCCCTTTGTTTGCAGGCTTTGAATAATTGAAAGGTATCTCAAAAGACTCAGGTAAATAATGTGAAGATAAGTTGGTTATATAAAAATAACATGCAAATGCTTATACCCTCCTCCAAGAGCAAATATATCTGAACATTTAGAATCCTTTGTATTCCTCAAATACCATTAAAAGTAGGACTGTGGACAGCTCTTGTGGGTATTTGATGTATTTGTTAGCTTTTACTCATTTTTTCTTTTGCCCACTCCTTTATAACATTTAAAAATATAGTTTTTCAGTTTTTAAAATCACAAATGCCTACCTCATT